TAAAACATTCAAAAATAAATAAATAAAATAAAATGACTATCATTCCCTGACCTGTGATTTTCATGTTGGTGGAAGGGGATAAACATCACAAGGGGAAGTAGGACACTATTCTGCATGATGAATTGACCATCATCTTCCTCTTCCTTATCTGTGTACTTGTTCTCAGTACTGGATGGGGGAGGTAGAAAACGAGGAGGTATGGGTGACACACACAAAATCCATATATATATGCATGCTGATCATTCAATGGTACAGCTGAGGACTATGCCACCAATATTCACTTAACTTAGTTTTTATTCCACATCACTGTATAAAGCTCTCTTCCTAAAAGAAGGAAAAGGAAAAGAACACAACAGAAAATTTCTAAGTTGCAGAAATAAAGGTACATACAAACATACTGATCTTTCCCTCTTTGTTACCCTACTATTTTCTCCTCCTCCTTTTGGTTTATTCCCCATCATCCTTTTTATCTTTCTGCTCTTTAATTGAAACGTCTTATTATGTGCCTACTTTTCAACCATGTCCCTTCATTGGATATTCAGCTTTGTTTAGTACAGTGCTTTCTGAAGTTGTTGGACAAAGAAATTTTATTTTCAATTTCTTCTCCAGGACAGACACAATTTTTTCTCTACTTACTAAATATAAGACTATGATATACCTATTATAGTAAATCTAGTGCTTTCAAAATAATGTATAATACATGATATATATTTTTTAGCATTTCATAAGGCATTGATCTTATCCAAATAATTAAATTATTTTAATTTTAGCAAATAAAAATAGCATTTAAGAATGAACTGGGTTCATTGATTATGTCTTCACCTTCAAATATCTATACGTTTATCTGTCTTTATCTTCAAATATCTACATAAGAATTAAAGTTAGGGGCATAAAATCAGCATTCACTACTTTATTTAAATATATTTAAAGTAATACAGAATTCCATATCCAAATGCTTGAAATAGGGTGCGATAATTTACAATGCCATCCTATTTCTCCGAGTGTTTGAACCACCTTAAATATATTTGTTAGCACATAAAGAAATTGCTATCGTCCCACTTCTCTGTGTCTATTTGAAACAATGCACAAACCATCCCACTTTCCTTTGCTCATTCCTGAAACACTACATAAATGTACATACATACACCCACTCCTAACAAAGCAGCCAAATGAACTAGGCAACAGATGGGAAACTGAGAGTCCATGTGTTCACATTTCTACTATGCCAATAACTTGCTGGGTGATCTTAGGCAAGCCACATATCTTCAGCTAATTGCCTTCTCTATAAAAGAACAGAGCCATAGGGCCTGAATATTAGCTCTCAGAAGCCAGTAATGAATTTGTCCCATCATCCTTCTTAATGCGGAAAACATATTCAAATAATAAAGAGCTAGAATTGATCTTATTATTATTGTATAATCTCACTAGGTCTTCCCTGTTGTTCTGAAGGCTATAACCAAATGCTGTGCAAAACCCACTTAAATAAAAAAGAGTGTTCTTCACCCCCACTACTGTAAAAATTATTTTTTATACTCACACAAGCAACAAAAGAAAAATAGATATATCTGATTTGTTCAAAGAAAATATACAAACAAGCAATACAAGCATGAAATAAACCTCAATCATTAAGGAAATGGAAATCAAAATCACAATGAGATTTCATTACACAGCCACTAGGATGGCTCTTTAAAAAAAAAAAATATATATATATATATTTTAATGTAAGGATGCTGAAAACTAGAATTTTCATACATTGATAATATGATTGTACATGGTACAGCTACTTTAAACAACTTTGAATATTCTTCAAAATGGTAAATGTGGAGTTACCAGAAACTTCACTATTAGTATATATTTAGGAGCATTGAAAAATGTTTGTCCACATAAAAACATATAAACAAATGCATATAGCAGCAATATTAATAATTGTAAAATCAAAGCAATCCAAATATCTATGAACTGATAAATGGATAAATGAAATGTAGTATATTCATATAATGGAATATTATTCAGCCATAAAGAGAAACGACATACTGAAACATGCTACAACATAGATAATCCTTGAAAACATGCTAAGTGAAAGGAGCCAGTCATAATATGACACATATTATATGATATCACTTATATGAGTGTTCAGAATACGAACATCAACAAAGACAGAAATTAGATTAGCAGTTGACAGAGCCTGGCTGGCTCAACATTGCCCAATGTCACCTCAATTTACCTTATGGACTTTAATAACTGACTGTAAGGATGATATTGGGATGTCCGAGTCTGCTTTTTCTAGATAGAAGAGCCTAAGAAAATGGTTTTGTGCAGGCTGCATTATGGAGCAAATAAACACTGTGGACAACTACCACCCAATCCTAGTGGAAGCACGTGCAACCCTCCATCGTCCATGTCATGATCATGTGAAATGTAATACAAATTATCTGTCGAAGGGAACAAAGAACATAATTTACCTGCCAATAACAATTACCCATTGGTCAACTGAGGCTTTAAAGAAGCTCCTATCCAGAAGCAAGTGATACAGGCTATACTTGAGATTAGGTGCTGTCAAGTTACATGTGCTTTAAACATTATGCAGAATTGGAAAAAGAAAAGATAAATTAAAAGGCTATTATGTCAAGCACGAGGAGCATGTAATACAGAGTTTCTACCTCTTAAATTAACCCAAATATGTGTAGTGGTGTATTAGAGCTGTGTGTACCAACTCGTGAGAGTCTACTGTGTACATCACTTGCTAACTGTGCTTCAGCAACTCCTTTTAGTAGCTTGATATTGACCATGATGAGAGTATTTGAACAACAGAAATGGGCAGACACTAAAATTCAGATTTTAGGGGAACATTAACCTTTTACCACCATTATCTCTTGTCCATTATTCTTCAAAGTTTCTGCTAACTAGACACTGTGTTAGGGAAATCATATATTTATCGATCCTAGAAATAAGAAACTACCACTGCCCTCTTTCTTTGGTCTTACTGAGACAAAGTTAAGGAATTGAAGGGAGGAAGACAATGGAAGTATATATTAACAGCAAGAAAGATGTTGACACATCTGAAGTATGCATTTATATATTATGGATTTTTTTTCTATTGCTACTCTGAATTTAAGACATGTATGTTACAATTTAAAAGTAAATCATATGTACCAAATCAGAGAACTCTAGATGCTGGCGAGGATGTGGAGAAATGGGCACCCTCCTGCACTGTTGGTGGGAATATAAACTGGTACAGCCCCTCTGGAAAACAGTATGGAGATTCCTCAGGAAACTAACAATAGAACTCCCTTATGACCCAGCAAAAGCACTGCTAGGAATTTACCCAAGGGATACAGAAATGCTGATGCATAGGAGCACATGTACCCCAATGTTCACAGCAGCACTCTCAACAACAGCTAAAACATGGAAAGAGCCTAAGTGTCCATCAACGGACGAATGGATCAAGAAGATGTGGTTTATCTATACCATGGAATACTACATGGCAATGAGAAATAATGAAATCTGGCCATGTGTAGCAACATGGATGGACCTTGAGGGTGTTATGCTGAGCGAAATAAGTCAGGCAGAGAAGGACAAATATCATATGTTTGCACCTATAGGAGGATTAGGAGGAACTTAACTGAGGAACAAGGGGGAGAAGAAGGGGGGAAATGGTGGGGGAAAGGGAGAGAGGCAAACCATGAGAGACTCTTGAATGCTGACAAAAACTGAGGACTGACAGATGTGGGGGGGAGGGGAGGGGGAGATGGGCATGGAGGAGGGCACTTGTGGGGATGAGCACTGGGTGTTATGTGGAAACTAATTTGACAATAAACTATTTGTAAAAAACAAAAAAAGTAAATCATATGTATAGAACACTTCATATATACAAAGCACTGTACTAGATTTTTTTTTTTTACTTAAGGTATTTTTTTTGTCCTCATGATGACCCTATTCAATAGGTAATTTTATTATCCCCATTTTGCCAATGAAGAAACTAAGAATCAGAGAGACAGAAAAATTTACACAAGGTGACAGAGTTAGAAGTTATTTCACAACAATTTCAGATTCTGAATATCAGCAATTTTTCTACTATTCTTCAGACTTCACTTTTAAAACATATGATTATCAAGAATTAAGGTAAGGTTTCATTAAAGGAATTATTTTTGTATCTTTTTCTAAGCAATCAAATAGATATTTGCCTACTTTTTTTCCTGGTATGTGATGAACTCCATCAATAAGTTTAATATCAATTTCATTGATATGTGTGAATTATGTTTTGGTCTGGAAGAATAAATTTTTAGAGAGCAAAGCAGTTACTTTTTGTTCCTTCTCCTCATGAGGAAGAACAAACACTGTTATCCATACTCTTTGCTGCTCTTACTGCATTATCACCCAAAAGGTTTTATCTATATTCAGAAGCTAGGACAGCATGAAGAATCATGGTGCCATAAAGGCACGCTGACATTCCTCACTGCTCCGCAACTTCCCTGTTTCCAAATTTGTTGACCCTGTATTTTCTTTTTCTTTTTCTTTTTTTTTTTTTTTTTACTGTCCTAGATATTCCCTCACTGCTGTAATGTCTCCAACATTAATAGTGGGCTAAGCTACTACCAAGTTCAGAACTAAGTATACCAGGCTCAAGGGTCAGGGGATAGGTTCCCTAAGACAACTTACACCCAAAGTGAGCAAAAATATGCTGTTCTTGCTATATGCTTTATAACTGGGGCTGCACATAAGGCTGGCCTTTTCATTTATTGTAGTGGTATAAATTTACCTTTAGTTTGTGGAGTTAAAAATGCAGGGATTCAGGGTACTTGGGTGGCTCAGTCAGTTAGGCATCTGATTCCTAATTTCATCTCAGGTCATGATCTCATGGTTCATGGGTTTGAGCCTCCACATAAGGCTCTGTGCTGACAGTGTGGGACCTGCTTGAGATTCTCTCTCTCTCTCTCTCTCTCTCTCTGCCCCCCTCCACACTCTAGACAAACAAACAAACAAACAAACACACTTTTAAAAATGGAGAGATTCGATGAGTGAAAATAAGTCTTCCTACAGGCCAATGGGCAACTCAATCCAAAGAATTCTCAAACTAGGAGATGGGCAGGGAGGGAATACAGAGGGAAAAGGATTAAAGGTTTGCCAAGCCATTTAAAAAATCATCCTTTGTTTTCCTCTTGACAAGGAAGAAAAAAAACAACAAAGATATATTCCATCTGAACCATGCATATATCACAGGTTGATTTGAAACCATATGAGTGCATTTATAAAGAAGTAAACTGTGAAGCAAAGTTTTGTGAGACAAGCCTAAAGATCTTCATGTGGCAGAGGTGATACCATAAATAACATGTTGTTGCATTATTGATGAAAATATTTTCATCCCAGTAAAGTTCATCTCAGAAAATGCAAATATAGGCAGATTCTGTGACACTGATAAGTAGAATAGTTTTGGGGTTTTGTTTTGTTTTTGTTTGTTTTGCTAACACTTTTAATTTTTCTTACTCAGGTATGTAAAATAAGACTTAAAAATGAAAATAAACAAATAAGAAAAACAAAGATTATTCATACATGATTTTAGGCATACATTAAGATTAAGAGATTGTTCTATAGCATCATGGGGCATGGCCTGCTACATAGTTTTCCTCTATATCTTTGAACAACATTCAAGGCCAAGGAAAGAATTGTCTTAAATCCCTGAGACACTCCTAGAAACTCCTGTGGTCACTTCCCACCTGGCTTTCAAACCAGTTCTGACATCCACCCAGATTATAATTGTCAATTTCAGGAACCCACAGCCTGTGGATGAATCAACATCACAGTGGGATGGATTTGTTCAGTGAACAGAAAATGTGCATGGAGATTTGATACCATGATATACCATACAACTAAGATGAGATAGAGAAAAAAAATCATTGTAATTATTATAAACCCATGGGCTAAGTGATAATTTAAAATTACTGTTCTCATAACACTTTGTCAGTTGGATTTAAGATTGTACAGAGACATAGTGAAGAAAGAAATTAGTTTAAAAAGCAGCTTTTTTTTTTTTAGTCAGAATTGGAACTGTGTTGAAAATGAAAACAAAAGCAAAGGAAAGCAAGTTGATTTAGCAAAAGAAGAGATTTGCTTAGAAAAAGGTGAAAGTCTTAAATAGAAATATATAAAACAGGAAAAAAGAAAGATAATATACCATACTTAACTATTGAAATTAAAACTAGGAAAGTTGAAGCCACACTTGCTTTCTGGATCAGGATTCAAAAAGATTTCATATATAAGAAAGAGTCAAGATGTTAAAGGCAGTAACAAGGTGAAGACATCCATAAGAAGGATTGGAGGCAAAAAAGTATAGAGTTGTATATGATGACTGTCCTTTACTAATTGGAACAACTGCACTAATTTATTGGGTAATATGTGGACACATTTCAAAAAAAAAGTTAGAGAACATTGGGGCACCTAGGTGGTTTAGTCGGTTAAGTGTCCAACTCTTAATTTGCGCTCAGGTCATGATCTCACAGTTTAGAGTTTGAGCCCTACATCAGTCTCTGTGCTGACAGCGTGAAGCCTGCTTGAGATTCTCCCTCTCTCTCTGCCCCTTTCCTACTTGCACTCTCTCTCAAAATAAATAAATAAGTAAATAAATAAATAAATAAAACATTTAATGTAAAAAATTTAAAAAAAGATTTGAGAGTATCAGCATGAATTCAAGCATTTTTTTGAGTTTCTTGATTAAAATAATCCTAAGTGAAGTAAAATAAAAATAGAATAATAAGTAGTAAAGCTAAGAGAACAACAGACTCTAAGTGGGACTTCATGGACGATGAGATGCTTAAGTGAAGCCATATATAAAAAATAAACTAAATCCAGCTTTTTGGGATTCTATACAAGTAGTTGGAAATCTTCCCAGTGGAATTACCCTATTTGGGGAATCAAAAATTTTTTTGAAATAATTGGATGCTTTTATAATCAAAAGACATATAATACAGAATCATGAAGAATATATTAACAAAACAAATGCATGGATTCAAAGCAAACTGAAAGACAAAGAAAAGATAATCCTTCAATATCAAATAGTGTCTTCCTTCACCAGGTAGAGAAGGATGGAGCTAAGTTTGAAAGCAAATTAATTATTAAAAATATTTCCAGGTCTTGCCTTAAAGATATAGGAAACTAACAGAAAGTAAATGAAATACAAAAGCATTCATTTGTAGGTGTAAAAGTGTCCTGCAGCTACCATAACAAAGCAGTACAAACTCAGTGGCTTACACATTACAATTTTTTTGTCTTACACTTTTGGTGACAACTAAAAGTCTGAAATGAAGGTGTCAGCAGGATTGGTTTCTCCTGAGGGCTGTGATGGAGAATCTGCTCCATGACTCTCCTATCTTGTGGTAGCCACAGGCACTCCTTGCCTTATGGATGGCATTCTTCCTGTGTCTCCATATGACCTTCCCTCTACCCATGTCCATCTCAGTGTCCAAATTTCCCTTTTTCATAAGGACATCAGTCACACTGTATTACAGCCCATTCTACTGATCTCATCTTAACTTGATAGTTGCAAAGAACCTATTTCCAAATAAAATTGCATTCATAGGTACTGGGAGTTAGGATTGGACAATTTTTGAGAAAACATAAAACAATCTGTAATGACAGGAAATAATGTAATAGATAGGAATGTTTCTGATGTCTTTGAAATAGCTCAAATTACTCAAGTCTTACCAATTTAAAAAGAAAATACAGAGGAAAAGTAAAGATTTTGTTGTACATATTACAGTACAGCCTACAGAGGTTCTCATCAGGTCTTTGCTTCCTCAAGCTTCTGAAGCCAAGCAGTTTTAATTAGGAACAGCATTGAGGACGATTCTGAAATACAGAAATGATAAGATTAGGAAGAAAATATCTTCGGAAGCAGAATTATGGACCTGGAATTATCTTTTAGGAATCTGCAGCAGACTCATTAACACTGAGATGAAACAGAAGTGTTATGGAATGTTTCCAGAAAAGGAAACAGAGAAAAGGCATGAGAAGGGCATGGAGACTTTGAGGGGTACCACAGTTTTATGTTTCATAGTGGGGCATCTTGGTAGTAGAATTAAATACAGTATGTTTCCCCACAAAATCCTCATACATATTTCAACTGTCCAGTGGCTTGAATTCACAGACTATTTCAAAGTATAGATTTGTAAATACATGAGATGAGAACCAAGAAAATGCCAGAGCCTCAGGGGAACACAGGAGACAAGTATGTCCCTCTAAAAATTCACATTTGGGCAAAAGCACCATTTCAAATGCTAAGAGAGAAATGATGTATGCATGCATGCAAAACTTTTTAAACAAAATGTTATAATTGACATTTTGATGGGTGATTTTCTCCAAGTATAGTATAAATTCAAAACATTGGGCTGGCATTTTGTAAAAGCTGTAGCCTAAATAATTATTTTCTTCTTTCTTATGTTGTCTATACCTACTTTTGAATAACACTGAAACATCACTAGTTTTTTGGAAACATATTATAGTGGTTGCATTGAGGTTAACTTTGGAAGAATGGTTTTGTTGTTTCAGAATTTTTGGAGTGTGAGAGATGTGAAGAACTTTAAGTTGATTTAATTCAAATTTTAAGGTGTTATTCTTAGAAGGACAAAAGCAGAAGAAAGTACCCAGAAATCTCACAAGCACTGAAACAAGACCTCTGTGACTGCCTCATGAAGTGAAGCAAAACAAAACAAAACAAAACAAAACAAAACAAAACAAAACAAAATGGAGAAAAAAAATTTTTGAAGTCTTAACTGCATTAAAAAGGTTAGAGTTAAATGTTGGGAATCAATTAAAATGGGAATATAAGCTTGACATTTTCCACTCAGGTAACGTAGGAGAAGGCAGTTACAATATATGTTTGAAGCATTTTAATTGTTTTATTATATTCACTGGAAAATTTCAAATGAGAAAGTTATCTTCTTAGAATATGACATGCAAATAGAATTGGCTAATCCTTGGCAAAAAATTAAGGTACTGTCTAACTTGGACCCAGGTTCCTATGGGAAACAGGTGAAATATTTGCTACCATGTATTTGGATAATAAACCTACAGTGCTGAGGAAAGAAGTTGAGTATTATTACAAAGGTAGTTTTTATTTTTAATTTTTTTAATTCTTTTAATTTTTTAATTTTTTTTTAATGTTTTATTTCTAGGAGAGAGAGAGAGAGAGAGCGTGAGCAGGGGAGGGTCAGAGCGAGAGGGAGTCACAGACTGAAACAGGCTCCAGGCTCTGAGCTGGCAGTCAGCACAGAGCCCGACGCGGGGCTAGAACCCACAAACCGCGAGATCATGACCAAAGCAAAAGTAAGAAAATAAACCAACTAAGCCACCCAGGCGCCCCTATTTTTATTTTTTTTAATACAGACACTATCTTTCAGTATATTTACATAGTACACTGTGTACACACACAATAGTCTACAAACCTATTCTAACATAAAGATAGTTTCGTATCTTATCATATTTGGTATCTTATTTAGTTTTGTAGCCGATTTCAAATATTTTGATAAACTATAAGCAATAATCTCTTATGACACTTTATTAGAGAAATTTATAGAGGTCTGTAGAAATAACTTACCACTTATGCCTAAGTTAAAAAAGATTGAAGTTTGTGTATTGAGGTTTTTAAAAAATTTTTTTAAAGCTTATTTATTTTTGAGAGAGATAGAGACAGGATGAGACGGGGAGGGATAGAGAAAGGGAGAGAGAAAGAGAGAGAATCCCTAGCAGGCTCCATGCTGCCATCACAGAGCCCCATGGAGGATTTGAATCCACATAACCACGATACCATGACCTGAGCCAAAACCAAGAGTTGGATGCTTAACCGACATGAGCCACCCAGACACCCCTGCATACTGAGCTTTAATTAGGCTATTTGCTTTGACTGTTTTCATCCCCCAAATCATAAAATATTGCATGTATCAGTCAACTATTGCCATATAACAAATGACCCCAGAAGTTACTGGTCTACAATAAGCATTTTTTTTTTCCTGAAAGGTTTATAAGTTAGCTTGCATAATTCTGCTTCAGGCTACAGATAAGCTCTTTTTGGCTTCAATTTTT